GTGTCAATGGGCAATTTGAATCATACTCTCTGGTACCATACTGGCGAGTTATGGAACAAGAGTCAGGGCTAAAAGGTTTTTCAGAATGTTGAACTGAATGAGTCATCCTGACACAGTCCAGATACGCTACAATAGGAAATAAAATACTTGCATATGGTTCTTTTAGTGGCTGAGGAAAGAAAGCGTGTGTGTCGTTCCTTCAGAGCTTAGTGTCCTCTTCGGTTCTTCTGGGGCAAACGGAGTCGCGCAAGTTTAAAAAGTCCCTTGAAAGTGAAGTTACCAAAGAAATAATTCAGGCTAAGTTAATTTCACTCGTTGGTGGGAATGAACAAAGGAGAATACGAAAAGGGAAAACAAAGACTAAAGAAGACAAACAAAAGAAACCAGACCCGAAGAAGTCTGAAGTGCAACTGAAGAATCACTGAAGACCTAGAGGAAACCGCTGGTCATGACTTTAAAGGGGGTCCGGGTTCAAATCGACGTGGAGTTCTGTGAGCGGGAAAAATCTTTCTTTGTCCTGTCAAGGCGGCTCATCTGCATAGTTTATGATGGTGTTAAAAGTTGTAATTTCTCCTTCGGAGAAATGTTATACATATAATCATACATTTTACTGTATGCTCATATATATATCTGGCTTGGTCAGACCAAGAGGATTCTGAAGGTATCAAGAACTGCGCGAAAAGGGCATAGAGATACAGAGATACATCTTAATGCATAATTTTTTTTTCTTCATCTTAATGCATAATTACAAGCACTTATAGTTAATTTAATACTACGATAAAATCATAGATACCCCAATATGACATGGGCAAGCAGGCAAACATAAAAACATATCAAATATATCTTTGTAGGGTATCTGGACTGTGTCAGTTGGGACTGTAGGGTCTGGACCCATCAGACACACACTAATTATTCATTATATACAAAGGTTTATGAAACTCCAAAACTAACATCCCAAATGAAACGAACACAAGGGCAGAAACAGTGTCATGTTACAGGGCTGATAAGGAGATTTTACGACCTCCAAGGAATGTGGCCACGTGCACAAGAGAGAGACAATGGGAAGACAGAAACCCTCTTTAAAACAGACTTTGCTGCATTAATCATAGACTAACTGATCTATAAATGAACATGCTTCATAGCATTGTGTAAATGATTTACTGTCTTGTGTACTATTATGTATATTTTATGGTATGTACCTTGGTATACAACCAACTAACGGTCAATGTAATCTCACATGTATCATGCCTCCTACCTAATTAATCCTCATTTAATGACTCACACTTTGATGTACATCACCTTCTTAGAATGCAGTGTGGAGGTGTTATATCTATCTGAGCATTAACGAAGGTCTAACCATGCTTGGGACAAAGACTCGTAAATTAACTAGAGCAACCTTCCCACTCGGACATTTCACTTTGCTTATTGGTCCAGTCAACCCTTAGAGGTTGGATCTTTCTCAGGCTTTATTAGGGACAGTCCACATGTGACCTCCCTCTCTTAGTTTTTCATCCAGCCGCAACACTGTTTCTGGTGATACTGGGAAACCCCCTCACCCTCCACGGGGGCCCAGGGCTCAGCAGGCCTTGATCCAACCAGATATGGGCTCATGCAGGAGAGAGAAGACTCTCTCACAAAGAACCAAGGACAATCTCAGGAGTTTTGGAACAACGACTCCAACCAACAACGACTCCAATCACCCACTCTTCCGACCTCCTCACTTCTCCTGGATGCTCGGCGTGGCCTCAACAGGGCCCCAGGCCTTGACCAAACCAGCCATCCACTCATGGAGAAAGATAACTTTCAAACAACTTCCACTTGCCACTGCTGGAACCCTCAACGACTTCAATTTTCCACAACTTCAAGAATTGTTCCTACTACAAATGCAAATTCAATTCAATGAAATGTGAAAATGAAATGCTGTTGGTTCTTCTCATAGTTAGATGGATCTTCTCCATCGTTACATCATTCCATCTCTTACTCCTTTTTCCTACACATGTATTTATGTATGTTTGTTTAGTTTATTCATGTTTATGATTTAGTTAATAAAACTTGTGCACTTTATGTATTTGGTTCTGATTCACTGCTTGCAAACAAAGTCTCTTTTACGATCTTGATCTTCCTACATGCTCAAAGCGCTGTACATGCTAAGAAATAATTATTCTTCTGTGGCCATTGAAGATACCCTTTTCTTAGAATAAATTAATAATCAAAAGAGTTCGTTGGACGAACTGATTCATTGATTGTAATATTAATTTAGCCATGTCAAGTTTATCCAATTAACTGACCCAAATATTCATAATTAATCATAACAAGTTATTATTGATTATTAACATTTCCTATAGCTAACTTCCTTACAGGCCTCATTCAAATTTTACATGTAAAAAGCTTTTAACATTTGACTCGCGTCTAGTAATTCACCAGCGAGCGCCAGAAAGTCTGTTCCTAATGGCGTTCATTGACACTTTCAGGGCGAACGTGAGTTAAAACAAAACCCATAAAACCAGCGATGAGCCAGCTTCACACAGACGTTATCATCTCAAAACCTTCCCCCTTTTCGGCAAGAAGGAATCCCCCCCCCCCCGCACCACCCCGCGGGCTGCGGGGTGGTGCGGGGGGGGGGGCTGGCGAACACTCATAATCCCCCGCATCAATGCTGACGACATCCAATTCCTCAGAACTGGATAGTCGCAGCATTGGTGCCTCATCTCGGGGAGAAGAAACCGCACCGCGTGCTTCCCCCTGAGACATTATACGTAATTGATTTCATACATTTAAAATCAATTACGTATAATGTGCATTAAGTGCGCTGAAAACATTGCATTTAATTCACACTTCAGTGTATTCCTTTAAAGTATATTATTTGTGTAATAAGTTCTCTTTATAAAAGTACACTAAAGTGCACTTTTTTTACACAAGGGCCAGCTCTCAGATTTTATAAAAAATATCTTAATTTGTGTTCCGAAGATGAACGAAAGTCTTACGGGGTTGGAACAACATGAGAGTAATTACTGACAGAATTTTTATTTTTGAGTGAACTAACCCTTTAATTTGGGTGTCCATAACAAGATAATCGCCATATTTATAATAAAACCATCATATTTAAAAATATAATATAATTAATCATATAATAAAATATAATTTAGCTTATTGTTACTACTGTAAATCTATATTAAATTATGGGAACTCCTTCATGTTTTCATAATCTTTACTTTTTAAAAGAATTTTGTTTCTGTATTTTTAAAATATACTGTCATTAAAATGTTAATAGAAAATATATTCATTGAACAAAAATGTGTTCTTTTATTTATCTAAATAAACAGAAAATAGTACAAACTTGCTAAAGTGATTGTTTTGAACAAGTACTAACAGACATTACGCAAAACATTTTAGCTAAAGTTTTTGTATAAATATGACTTTTGCCCCATGCTGGTGAGCCTTTTACCCCATGTGTGGGGTAAATGGCCCACCTTGCCACTTCATACATTTATAAGATTTTTAAACAAAATAAACTACTTTTATGATTTATTTTCCATCAAAATCTGTTGCTCCATCAGTTCAATAATCTTGCTTTCAAAATATATATTTTTTCTGCAATCATTCAATTTTTTGTGTGAATGGACAATACTAGCAAGACCAAATCGCGATTCAGCTGTGCGCGACAAATGCCGCCAGTGCAGTGCTCCGTTTGCGCATCCAGTGTGAATCAGGTGTAAGAGCTGTATTTGTGATGTTTGAGTTGGGGAGGCATTACTTGCGAAGTTTGCAAGGTTGTTTGAAAATAGGCTTTTTTAAACAACCACAAGGTGCCACAGAAACTGCATACAAAACCCTTTAACAAAACTCAGTACTGAATTCTTAGACTAATTCAATTAGAAAAGACACACAGCAACATAACACTTGTTGCTTTAAAATATAAAATGTGTTTTATTTCATATTGATGTACAAATTTACATGAAAAATGCAGCATCTAAATAGTAACTTGCACAGGAAAGTGTAGATAATGGACAAACACAAGACATGCACATCACAAAGAGACAAGAACAATGAGAAGAAAAAGAATGTGAACGTTCAAAGCCCTCCTATAGTCTATAAAGATTATGATATAGACATAAGCCACCCATCCACACATCACACTCATGTATATTACACATCACATTAAAAAAAGAGTGCCTGTTCCAACTTAAAAATGACAGTATGACTTCCCACAATTTGGCTCCAATTTGCAATGTACTCAGTTTCAAGTCAACTCCTGAAAAATAAAACACACACCTGTGGTTGTTACTAAATATCATTAAGGCTGTGAATACAGCCAGGCCAAGCTTGTAGAGTATGGCCTACAAGACCAATAGGGAAAAATGTATGGACATCAGCAGAACATTGCAATTTATGACTGAATTTATGGTTTCTTAATTAACTAGACATCAAAATGCATAGAAGAAATAAAGATGAGATAAAGAGAAAACATGTTACAATACATTTTATTTTACAGTAGTCAATATTTTAAGTGGATCAAAAAAGTTAAATCAAAGTTGTCCTAAGACAAGAACAGGTATTGTTCAAAATGCATGTATAACTTTGATGAAAGGTTTTGAACCACTTCAAATGTTGACTACTATATATTAAGTCAAAATAAGTTTTACTTTAATTGTCATATTTTACAATATGGAAATAAGGTGGCTGATCATTTCCAAAATTAAGCTCAGATTTTTCACACAATAAGGCCAGTATTGATACTTGCAAGCCCATGGGAAGCATTTAATCAGCCTTACACACCATCTAGGCACAAAACAGAGGTGATATTTTCAAAGAACAGAAAGTGCTTAAGAAAAAAGTTTGCACTGTTTTCATTAATGTTTGTAGCTACTGTAAAACGATGTGACTGCACCTGAACTAAATGAGAGCTTTAGGCCATCAGTGACAAGCTCTTTCATTCAGTGACCACACTACAATATAACTTACCACTGCTAATTGCTAATTGATGAGCCTAAATTACCATATTAAGATGCAGACTTTTTTTATTGCACAATTTCACTAATTGGTGAGGGTTGCATAATGCAATGACAGACCAAAATGGCTGCTGGAAGACACCTAAGTAACCCCAGCCTGAAGCAGCATTCCCAAGCTATGGGTTAATTTAGATAATGATATCATAATTTATCTTCGAGGATGCTTGCGAGTCACAAAAATAAGGACCCTGCGAATGGCAATCAGCCGGTCCTTAAGAGTGGTCATGGCGAGGATGGTCAGCTGGGCTTTGTTTTCCAGCGGCAGCACAGCCAACAGCCACCAACACCATGCAGGACCACTGGGGTTCCCCTGGGAAAAACAAGACCAGAATCAAACTTAGGTATTGAATGTATTAGATTATAAATGCAAACTACAGTAATTTAAATATGTGAATTATACACGTTATGTTACACAACAGACAGGCTGGAGGTAAGATTACTATGAACAAGCATTTAGAACAAATGTGAGACTGATTTGGTGCAAACATTCACCTGTGGGTCAGAGTCTTTGGCAGGCAGCTGCCCAAAGTGGCTGATGATTTGACTCTTCATATCATCTTTAAGTGAAGTGAACCAGGCCATGGCCTGATCATAGACAGAGTCATGCAATTTCAGGAGCTCTGTCAACTCCTCTCCTTCAACCTAAACACAAAAATTCATATTAGGTCAGAGTGGAAGACTGGTGATTTTTTTTCTCTCCCTCTTTCATACACACACATAATACAACTTTTGGATTTGGACTTTCTTGCGCTCGTACAATTCAAAAATATTTCTATACCTTCTTATCCTCCAAATATTCAATCTTGGCTGTGTGGTATCCATCTCTCTGCCCATGACTGAGCACTTTAAAACGTGCAATGCCTATCGTGTCCACCACAGAGCGTCCATCAGGAAAAAACTTGACATCTCTCACCTCCAGCATACAGCCGTGGTCTGCAAACCTGCAAATCATAGACCTCACCCATTTAACTCCATGCAATGTTAAAATGTTATGCACTTCATTAACACATTAACACTTCTTTCCCAAGCGCTCAAGCAATGAAATTATATGTACGAAACTCTGAACACATAATTCTTATTTAGCCAAAAAGCTTTCGTGCTTTGTCACATGCTCCACCCAAAAGGGAGTCGGCTATTTTAGATTTAGTTGAAAGTGCATCAAGTGAACTCTTAAATACTCCTACAAGGGGATTCATGAGATTGTCAACATTATACCAAAACATTGAAGATAAATTGCAAACAGATTTTTGATATTTAGAATGGTTTGGCAGTGGCATGCCACGTGGCAATACATTTATGGTGAAAAAAGGGAGACTGTTTAGTGCTTTATTATAGAGCTCTTATCTTAGCTGATTTTAAGTTTATTTTTATTTTTTGCAGTAACTGCTTTGCTAATTGCAATAAGTTCCCTTTCGAGGGAACTCCAACTGCGTCGAATGACACTTTGGGGGAACGCCCCTCAGCGTAGCGCCTCTGAAGTATGAATGAAACTGAGCCGATCTCTGATTGGTGCAACGTCATGACGTGATGTGTGACGGCACATAGGCGGAAGCTATAAAGGCAGCCGGCAAACATAAGATGTCAGCTTTCTGTTCTTCAGCAAGCGCTCTATGTCAAACTGTCAGTCTTATTTGGTGTTGTTTGTCCCATAAGAATTGTCCTAAATTATTGCAATATGGAATCTAGTGGCTCGGATCTCGCGTTTGCCGAGGCAGCGTGTAGATTACGGGTCTACTCAGCAATAAAGATTCTGTGACTGAGATCTCGCGTTTGCCGAGGCAGCGCGTAGATTAAAGGTCTGCATTGCAATTCAGAATCTAGTGGCTCGGATCTCGCGTTTGCCGAGGCAGCGTGTAGACGGGTCTACTTTTGCAATAAAGATTCTGTGACTGGGATCGCGCGTTTGTCGAGGCAGCGCGTAGATTTAAGGTCTGCATTGCAATAAAGAATCTAGTGACTCGGATCTCGCGTTTGTTGAGGCAGCGCGTAGATTCGGTCTACTCTGCAATAAAGATTCTGTGACTGGGATCTCGCGTTTGCCGAGGCAGCGCGTAGATTTAAGGTCTGCATTGCAATAAAGAATCTATAGTGACTCGGATCTCGCGTTTGTCGAGGCAGCGCGTAGATTCGGTCTACTCTGCAATAAAGATTCTGTGTGGGTGCGAGGCATGCACAGTCAGCTCCTGAGGGCGCTGGCTGTGTTCATTGAGAAATATCTCGACGCACACACAGCCGTGTGTTCGGGTGTTTCAGCCTCGCGCGAGTCGCGCCCATTGACTTTCTTCTCGAGAGATGAAAGCCAAATATATTGTGAATGACTCGAATCTCGCCGTTGCCGAGGCAGCGCGTAGATTACGAGTCTACAATAATAGGGACACACAGGGAAATAATACTGTTTTGTGCGAGGCATTCACAGTCAGCTCCTGAGGGTGCTGGCAGTGTTCATTGAGAAATATCTCGACGCGTAGGCCTACAAAATTAACCATGCGCTGTCGGATGTTTCAGCCTCACACCTGTTGACTTTCTTCTCGAGGGATGAAAGCCAAATATATTGTTACCGCTCGATTCTCGCGTTTGCCGAGGCAGCGTGTAGATTACGAGACTGTAATAATATTAAAACAGTATTTTTTGGTGAAAGAGTACCGCTTCTAGAGCCCCTCCTCAAGGAGCTTGGGGGCATAGACGGCACTCTCAGGCGAAGCCTCAGCCTAAACAGTGCGACCTGAGGGTCGTCCTGCAGGGTTTGAAGGCTTCCTCAAAGAGGTCCTAGCCAGCCTAGGTTCTCTGCGGGCAGCCCCACCCGTGGTGGAGCGACCGAGGTCGTCTCTTTCGCGGAGCCCGCAGGAAATCGATGTTGCTCTCCCGCCGTTAAACACGCTTCGGGACACATCGGTATCCAGCGAACGCAGGCTGCACTGTCCGCCCCACAGGCTTGCGGTCAGGCAGCATTCGCGTCCGCCCATCGAGAATCGTTTTCGGTTCAGCCCTGCCGGGAATCCGCTTCAGGTGGCCGAGAACGAATCCCGATTAATACCCGAATACCTCGAGAGCCTGGTTCCCTTGGTAAAATAATTCGAGGCATGGAAAAATCTGACGAATATTTCTCCTTGGGCCCTGCGCACCATTCAAAATGGGTACAGGCTGCAGTTCAGTTCCCGCCCACCCAGATTACACGGGGTGGTCTGGACTGTAGTCGACCCAGTGCAGGGTCGGGTATTGGAACAGGAAGTAAACTCCCTGCTGGCAAAGGAGGCTATAGATCGTATTCCTCCACCGGACAGGGAGTCCGGGTTTTACAGCCGCTACTTCATAGTTCCCAAGAAGGATGGGGGGTTGCGTCCAATAATAGATCTCAGGCACCTGAACCGTTCTCTGAGGAGATTCAGGTTCAGGATGCTCACTATTCCCATTATCGTGAGTCAAATTCAATTTGAGGATTGGTTTGTCACGATAGATCTAAAGGACGCATACTTCCACATATCCATCCTTCCATCTCACAGCAAGTTCCTGAGGTTCGCTTTCGGGGGCGAAGCTTACCAATATCGGGTTCTTCCGTTCGGCCTAGCTCTCTCCCCTCGCACATTTACCAAATGTATGGATGCAGCTCTGGCACCGCTGAGGCTTCAGGGCATCAGGGTGCTCAATTATATCGACGACTGGCTGATTTTAGCACAGTCACAGGAGCTGGCGGTTCGGCATTGAGATGTCGTCCTCGCCCACATCCAGAGCCTGGGGTTGAGACTCAACACGAAAAAGAGCGTGTTGACACCAGCCCAGAGAACTACGTTCCTGGGAGTGGTGTGGGACTCGGTCACGATGCGGGCACAATTGTCTCCCGCGCGGATCGAGTCCATCCTGACCACAGTGATAAGGCTAGGCCAAGCCATCACTGTGAAGCACTTCCAGAGAGTGTTGGGGCTCATGGCAGCAGCGTCCAGTGTCATTCCATTCGGCTTGCTGCACATGAGGGCCCTTCAGTGGTGGTTAAAAACCAAGGGGTTCTCCCCGAGGGGAAACCCGTTCCGCATGATCAGGGTTACACGCAGATGCCTTCGTTCCCTATCTATGTGGAAGAAAGCTTGGTTTCTGTCCCAAGGGCCAGTGTTGGGAGCGTCATGTCGCCGGAGAACCGTTTCGACAGACGCCTCCCTCACGGGCTGGGGCGCGGTCATGGACGGCCGCTTTACCACAGGCCTATGGCAGGACCATCATTCCTCCTGGCACATAAACTGCCTGGAGATGTTGGCGGTGTTCCGAGCTCTGAGGAGCTTCCTGCCGGACCTCAAAGGTCATCATGTCCTTGTGAGGTCAGACAATATGTCGGTAGTGGCCTATATAAACCATCAGGGGGGTCTGAGGTCTCGCCCTCTATGCAGACTGGCGCATCAGATCCTCCTGTGGTCCCAGGGGAAGTTGTTGTCTCTAAGAGCAACATTCATCCCGGGGAGTCAAAATCAGGGAGCAGACATCCTGTCGAGACAGGGGCTGAGGCCCGGGGAGTGGAGACTCCACCCCGAGGTGGTGGAGTCAATATCTCAGAGGTTCGGCCCAGTGGAAGTGGACTTGTTCGCGTCTCGAGAGACGACCCACTGTCCACTGTGGTTTTCCCTCTCCCATCCAGCCCCGCTGGGGTTGGATGCCATGGTGCAGACGTGGCCGAGGCTACGTCTGTACGCATTTCCCCCGATCGCTCTGCTCCCGGGAGTTCTAGAGAGAGTCCGTCGCGACGGGATCAGTCTACTGTTGGTAGCCCCGTTGTGGCCGGCCCGAGTATGGTTCTCCGAAATAATTTTGCTCCTGGACGGCCCTCCTTGGGAGATTCCCCTCAGGAGGGACCTGCTGACACAGGCAGAGGGCTCAATATTTCACCCTCGGCCCGAGTTATGGAAACTGTGGGTCTGGCCCCTGAGGGGGCACAGTACCTAGAGACCGGCCTATCAGCTGGAGTAGTGGAGACCATACTCAGCTCTAGAGCTCCATCCACGAGGACATTGTACGGCTTAAAGTGGAATGTCTTCACTGTTTGGTGTAAGGAGCGTGAGGTGGACCCAGTTAACTGCCCAGTGGCTTCAGTGCTGGAGTTCCTCCAAGATCGCTTCTCCACTGGTCTTACCCCGTCCACACTCAAGGTGTATGTGGCTGCCATTGCGGCTTTCCACGCTCCTCTGAGTGATGGGCCTCTGGGGAGACACCAATTGGTCGTACGTTTCCTCCGTGGGGCTTGGAGGATGAGACCTGCGGCTCGTACCAGGGTTCCCACTTGGGACCTGGCAGTGGTTCTCGAAGGGCTGGCCGAGGCCCCCTTCGAGCCGCTGGAGTCGGCTGAGGCCAAGAATCTTTCGTTGAAGGTGGTCTTTTTGTTGGCCATTACTTCTCTGAGGAGGGTAGGAGATCTCCAGGCGCTCTCCATATCTAACGAGTGCCTGGAGTTTGCTCCAGGCAACATTAAGGCCATTCTTCACCCTAGGCCCGGCTATTTGCCTAAGGTGCCGTCCAGTGCGGCACGGCCTACGGTTCTGCAGGCTTTTCATCCTCCACCTCACGTGACGGCGGATGAAGAGAGACTTCACATGCTCTGCCCTGTCAGAGCACTGAGTATTTACATTCAGAGGTCCTCTTCATGGCGGAAGTCGGACCAGTTGCTGGTGTGTTTCGGGTCGCCCAGGAAGGGGCTTCCCGCCTCAAAGCAGACCATCAGCAACTGGATTGTCCAAGCGATTTCCACGGCCTATCAGGTGCGCGGTATGCCTTCACCTTTGGCCGTGAGGGCTCATTCTACCAGAGGCATGGCGTCCTCTAGAGCCCTTCTCGCGGGGGCCCCCATCCAGGAGGTCTGCGATGCAGCAGGATGGGCTACCCCTCATACCTTTATTAGGTTTTATAGTTTGGATATTCCGTCTACACCCGGCTCTCTTGTGCTCGCGTCCTAAGTGTGCCTGTG